TTAATAAAAAAATAAATACACAAATTGTTAATGATGTGTTGACCCTCCTTTTTAATCCAGAACGAATGAAAACTAACTGATATTAAAAAACAAATTATTATTCGGATAATTTGTTTCAATCGTCGCCGTTGACATTACTTTTTTACAACGTAATTGATCGAGTTCTATTCGTTTTATTATCGAAAAAAATGCATATTAATATAAAATGCATATAAAATATTATGTTACTCATGAAAAATTAATGGCGTATAAATATGTATACATATAGTTTTAATTCCAAGATAAATTAGAGAAAATAAAAATTTCAGTACGACTTTATCACAGTTATAAAAAGAGCAAAGCAATCTGTACTATCGTAAAGACCACAATTAAAAAAAAAAACGCATTATAATCAGGTTTGCGCTCATGCTTTGTGTATTGCCAAGTACTATTTACAAATAGTATTTACAAATGTTTAAAGATATAAATTCAATTAAATGTTAAGTTGTCGAAACGAGTAAAAAATTAAGTGGGTGTCTATTTACTCTGCTACATTCGCTGCACAAAAAACAATTATTATTAAACTGTACTACGTAGATTATAAAAGTTGTAGTTATATTATGAAAAAGAAAAGAACATTGAATTTAATGTTTTATTTTTAAATTACCTAAATGGTTCTTATTGATGATCTGACTCATACAAAATAATCTGTACATGAGGTTAATTACAGCGAGGACTTTTCAAATTTATATAATGGCAAATTATATTTCGTTAAGAAAAATCCTATTAATTTAGAGTAACTTTGTTAGTGAATTTGATGAGCGTGAACATGCATATTGTAGATGTCTGTTATGATAAAATACAAGCAGGGCTTAAAGTGGGAAAAAATTACAAGGGGAACTACTGTCTCCATATAGTTTTTAGCTATATATAATTTTATGTATAATGTCTAATGCATATAGTATATGTAATATAGAAACAGTGATTGTGTAACATACTCATCCCACTTTTATCCCTGAATATATGTATATGTTTTCACTTATTATGGGCTAATCGAATACCTATTTATCACAGTATAGCCATTTACAATAACTGATAAAATCAATTATTTTTACACATATATTAGATAGTCCTTAATTTGTATTAAATACATTTGATAAAAGTAAAGTAACAATTGATAAAAAAATAAAAATCAAGATTTAATCCCAACGGAATTCTGAATTATATTGACTAATGTTTAGTTATAATTGGAGCGGTACGGTGTACCTTACGAATAATTTGTTAAAGGGGACGCTTTTTAACCACTATTAGAGGTAATGGGACTGAGTCCCCCTGCGTCCCCCCCACTTTAACCCCCGAATACAAGTTGTTTCCGCAGTCTTTTTGTTAGGTACCAAGGTTTCTGGCGTAAACATTTAGAGTATGCTGATTGCTGCTGCATATACTAGCGGGTTATTCTTATATCATTCTTTTATTTTTGGTATATTGTTACTCATTAACGATTAAATTTATAAGACTTTACTACTTTTTCACTTTCAGCATTTAAGTCCTACAATTATTATACATACAATTATTTAAAAACAAAAAATCTCTCTCAGGCTCTTTGACTTATTGTTAGGCTCATAAGAATTTTGACTCGATGTGATAGTTTCTAGTAACGTTAATCACATGTTAAAGCTAAATCTAAAAAAAAAAACTTTTTGTGTGGATTTCCTGTATTTTAAGTGTTAGCAGGGAGGATTGGATTTTTTTTAAAGTTTAAATTCACTCAAGTATGAATCACATACGGGTTATGGTAGATGCAAGTCAAGGAGACAAGAAAAAAATTCACGTATGTTAACATGATGATGACATATAAAACAATAATATAATTGGATAATTAATAAACCAATACTTCCTTAGAATCACATCGAAAGAGATCATTACTTTTAAATTAATATATACTTACATAATAATAAAAATTCCTCCTAGGAATATTTTCGTTAAAATATATTCCCCTCAATAAATATCGGTATTTACGACCTTAATGTAAATTTAATGTATTTTTAAACTCATATCGCGCGAGCGTGAAACTTTTATGACAGATGTAATTAAAGTACAGAAACCCGGAATTTATTTTTTGTAAATCATGTTTATTATTATTTTTTGACGAATTTTGAATTTTACGATTTTTTTAATTGCCTTTAAACACGAAACAAGCAGAAATCACAGCCAGTTGGAGGGAGAACGGAATTATTACCGCATTGAACTCTTTTACATTTAGTAATGACAATGAATCACCCCTAAATCAATGGATAAATTGGGTTATCCGTAAAACAATAATTATATTGGACTTACGTGCAGATATTTGTATCATGCTTTAATTCTTTTAACGCTGAATAGAGGTAACATGACTTAAGTGACTGATTACCTATTGTTTAATTGTGTACTGAAATTAGGCATGTTTAGGCTCATGCATTAGCACTGCTGCAAGTTATACCTACATTAAAGTAGTATAACTTTATAGTGTTTAACAGCTTTTAGAAATTACACTCTACTTCATAATAAGTTTATTATCCTAAGAAGGAGCTATAAAATTTAAATGTCTATAAAAAAATACATTAAGCGTAGGCGGTTGGAGCCAAAAGGAGTTAAATTCACTTTTTGTTATCCAAGACCATATGAATATATTATTCTGTGTGAATTTTTTTTTGTCTATCGTTAAAAATTGTAACCTGCTACGGTGTTAGTGTTCCAGTCGATTTGTCGGTAAGATGAGTCAATAAACGATCTTACATTTTTCAACTAACTTATTTTTTTCTCCTAAAACCTACTCGGCACGTGTCCAAAAAGGCACAGGTATACCTTTATAGGTACTTATCAAAATGTCCGTTTAGAGGCTATCCCATAAACTTGTGCCATGATCCAAGGGTTCGTTGTTTAAAGTATGTTACATTATTTATCGCTGATTTTACCACAAAACGTTTGAATTGTATACACCATCAAGATACACGTTCACTATAAACAATAAATATGTTTACCTTGTAAATGTATGTAATTGTTATATCAGACTCTAGTAATTAACCATGTTTATTAATTGATTTTAGTCGTGGATAGGTAGCAGCTTCTGATGCTGTTGAATACATAATTACGGAGACATTGTTTATAACGGTTTTCAATGGACCTGTATTCTTCGAATAAAACAAAAATATAATAAATACAAATTGAATAACTTCAAAAATATAAATATTTGTATAAAGTTTTATTAGAATAATTTCCAGCATAATTATTCGAATACAATTATTCGGAGAACTTTTAAACATATAATTAAAATAATTTACAAGTGCGGGTTGAAAGTAATTTTTGTTTAAAACACAATTTCACACAAAAACACATAACACCATTAATTATTAATAATATTATTATTAATGTAATATATTACTTATAAAATAATAATAAATATATAACTACATATTATGTACTTTTTACTAATAATCTGTGTTAAAATATTAATTTTGTATTTAAATAGTTATTCGAAAAACACAACTCTGGCTGTAATTTTAATAATTACAAATTCTTTATATCCGTTCATCGGTGTCCGATATCAACACTAGTAAAATAAAATGACTTCTAGTATTTGTGGGCCGATTTATGGTTATATTTGTATTTAATTATATTATGTGTTATCATTAGGCTAGAATTATTTTTGGAACGTTTGTAATATGTTATTTGTTTAGAGGATGCCACACATCTGTACGTTTAGTGTCAGTTAACTGTCGCAAGAAACAAAGATTTTATGGTTACGTGGTTACAACTGCAAACAATAAAAGGATAGTTTATCACAGACTATTAATAATGAAGGAAAATTGTGAAAACCGTTGTAAACAGACGCTATAATAGTCGAATAAATAAATTAACTACCCATAAATACTTCTCGTTATATTACTAATAAAAGAACACTAAAGTATAAAATGTTACGAACAACTTTATCTACAAGAACAAGATTTTCTCGAATTTTAGAGAGGACAGTGTGAATTTTTTATTATTATTAACGTTATAAATAATAAAATCATTATTTCGATATCGTTAAAAAGAATATTTTTATTTGATACGATATTGTTATAAGTAATTTATACAATTAATGTGTTGAACAAGTACAGTACTTACTACTTTCTCAATTAAGACGTATAATTACTATTATAACTTTTAGCTTCGATGCGGATTATTATTATATAGCATTTAAAAAAATAGAATGTTAATATTTGATATGTGACATTTAGGCAAGATGGAGACGGGAGTTATCAACCTGGGCATAGACGAGCTGGAGCCAGACAGGCTCGTGGAGAAAATGCTTCAATCAAGGGATGCGTGGATAGTAATCTAGGGCTACATCAAACGAGTCATGATTGCGCGAGAAAAGGCGGAGAGAGAACGGCAAAGGAGTTGCCCCTTAAAACAAAACTAGGCTGAAGATTAAAAAACAAAAAAAATTGTCAATGCGGTGGATGTATTATATTGTGCGGGGAATCCTACCCACTAATTTTAAGTATTAAGGTATTTAGAATCCCAAGGCCCCCACCAAATCTCCGGTAATGAGTATAAGGCTGTATGATTAAGCGTTATTTTTCAAACAGCTACGGCAACTTATCGTTAGTTAATTAAACTGGCATCGTTATTTTCATAATTTATTTTTTATCATTTCCTCCTTAGGCTGCAAGGCGTGCTTGATTTGTGCTCGTATAAAGTCGTCTTTGTAGAGCAAATGATAATGCGACGTATACAATCAATTATTATTAGCGTTGCCACTGTGTCGGTTTAGCCGTTTGTTTCAAACCAAACCCTCGCATTACACGCGCGGGAGTAATAATTAATATCGATACCTCGAAAATACATATTATATGGCAAATACAATATATGAAACGTTTACGGAAAGTAACAACCGCGATGATTGTTGGAAACGATGCAGCGGTGGTGGATGGTTTTTGAGGCGCCGTCGCGGCAGTACAGCATCTCCATTGCCCTATTCGAACGCCGGCGTTTTACCACTGTTGTTGCTTTGCGACGGTCGGCCACAGCAAATCGTATACCTACCAGTAGCACGTTTTCATTCCGCTTCGGCTACAACATCTGAACGATCCGTATAAGAGTCCAACGTCGCTGCCGCGCGCCGTTACCCATGCGGTAAGTCTGCAAAAATTGTCACACGAATATTTTCACGGTAGTCGGGTTAGGTTAGTTTTGACATTGACATTCAAGTAGGCACTGAATCGGATGGGTTGATATGATTTTAGCTTCGCTCGCCCCACAGTTAATATGGTCAAGATGAAGTTGAAATTTTAACTCCTATCCCCTATAAAACTAATTTAAGTATAGTTGTTTACAAAAAAAAAAAATGTCTAGAGCTATAGGTCTCTCGTTAATAGGGAGTAGTAGATTTTTTAAAATGTTTTTCAGTAGTCGCAATATCTTATTAAATTTATTTTGTGCACTAGCCTCTGTTAGCAAGTACTTTTTCGGATTTTTTTCCGCAACAAAGACCTAATTACGCCTATTTGAGTACTCAAATATCGAAAGTTAGTCTGAAAAAATAGACGACACCGGGCAGGTGGATAGGCAAAACATACATATTTTAGCATTTTACTATATTTGGCACTACGAATATTTTTTGAAATTTAAGACCTTTTAACAAAAATTATCGCTGTAAATAAGTGTAAGTGCCGTTAACACATGTATGCGACGTTGTGTAGTTGAAGCAGAGTCTAAACTATAAAGGGAATATAAACTTTAGTTTATTAATAAATGTTTTCTCTCATAATTATGGTACTTATATATATGATAAAATGAACAATTCATTAGAGAAATCCGTTAAAGTGTGCAGTCGCTAAAAAAAACATGTGTTTCATCCAGTCCTTAATTTTTAATAAAAATGTTAGTTAAACAATAAAATGTTAATAGTTTCTGTTGTTATCAAATGGTCAAATATTAAATTACCCAATGGAAGCTAGAATAAAATGTAATAATTTGTTATGGCCTTTAAGATTTTTGGTTTTCACTTGTTAGATGATTAATAACCCAATGGAACCATCTTTTTAGTTTTAAAAATATATTTCAGAGTTTTCTTAAAAATAAAGTTTAAAAAAACATAAAGTAAACTAAGTATCACAAAGCCGGTGGAATTACGTGGTAAATTATACTTCTTCTCCCTCATCAGTTAATTGCATTTCAAAGCTGTCAAGAATTATTTTTAAGCGTTTTTTTATTTATAAAAGATTATTACATCATCAAAACGCTAATTGCTCTTCTTTCAAGGGTTTTAATTCTTTTAAGGGCATTGGGTTTATTATGTCAATTTGAAGTATTGAACATTTATATTACATCATAAAAACGATTGATGCTCGCAAGTCATTGGATAAAGACAACAGGCATAATCCAGAGTTAAAAATCCTATTTGTATATGTCATTTAATAAAACTGTTATTCAACGTCAGTTAAACTTCATATTACAAATAACCCACAAATAACCTACGAAAAATAGTTGTTAAAATTAGTGCAATAGCAACAATAATAATCGACGCGTTTATATGAATGAAATAAATTACCCAAAAGTTAATATATAAAATAATACAGTAAGCGCACATTATTAACACAGCGCAATTGTAACAAAGCTTTATGTTTTAAGTTTATGGATTGTTTTTGTTTGAGAAAATATATTAAATGATGTTGTGGATTAAAGGAGACAAGAGGAAAAACCGACACTGGAACATCGAGAAGGCATTTTTGTTTGGCTTTTGACAACCTAAATTAAATTTTTTCTACTCAAAAAAGAATTTGTTAGATTGAAAATCGCAGATAACTTCTGTTTGTCGATTGTGAACTTTTTTTATTGAGCTGTCTCAACAATGTACCTACAACTGACTACGTACACGGATGGATGATTACAAATTACAACTATATAAAATTATTGTTCAGACGTTCATTTTTTCAGTTGAGAGCTCTCTAATACCCTACCGTCTTTCCTAATCAAAACACACTGGTAATTTATTGGAAACACAAAATAAAGAATATCAAATTACAATTTTTTCTTTAAAATTGCGGGTCTTTTACATCTCTAAAACTATTAAAATACACTATTAGATTCAATAAATTTATAAAAATTAGTCTGTTACTCGATATACACGAAAATTAATAATAATGTTGACATTTTTATTGTTCGTACAAGTATGAAACGGTTTTATTATCAGATTAAACAACAATGAATGTTATAACTTTCCCTGCTTGAAGATATTTTTGAGAATGATATATTAGTAAATTCGTATAAAACAGAATGTGGTCGAGTAATTTCTTTCAAAACATATTTTATGGCTTTGGGGCTGTAATTCATTTTGTCTTCATTTGAGAAATTATAATATTCGAAATGAACACTAAAATACATTAAGTTTCTCGACTGTGGCGGTCAGGCTATTTTATAATAATTTTTACTGTAGGTATAATAATAATACAATTTTAATAATTTAATTTCGAGTAATTTTTTACACATTTGACAACAATTTAATTTTACTATAAACAATATTTATTGTCTAATACGAAAGTTTAATTTAATAACATCACCGAATTTACTGGCTTCGTACAGTAAAATATAATTTGAACGAATTTTACTTCCAGGTTGAAAGTTTTTATTTAAATTTAGCGTATCGAATAGAATTTTGTCACGTTCATAAATTATAAAAACACATTATCAACACCCTGGAACAGTACAATTTTATAAAAAAAAACAAAATTATTAATATTTATTATTTAAATTGGAGTTGTTTTCTTTTAAAATATATCACTCACAAGCGTTTAATATTGCAAATTAAGTTAGTTGTTTACGCGTTATCTGCATTCTAGTTTTTACTCAAAATACGTAGAATTATATTTTTTTGAGTTTATATTTTGTAGTTGATAGATAGGTGGACTAAAATAGAAAACAATTTTGATAGCTGATAAGGATACCTTTTCAGCCACACCAAGTCAAACCCATATAATACTAATTACCATCTAATAATCATAGCTCTGTATTGCAGTGTGAGTATGAGTTATGTTGTTAGGTTAGTTCGATTTTATTTCATTATGGAAATTGGAAATTATTGATGTCTTCTCTTCTAAAATAGTTTAAAAAAACAATGGTTTTTTTAAATTAAGAAAAGTATTTGGAATTGGAGTACCTATAAGTAATTTAGATAATACGTATAAATGTGTAGCTGGACATGACGAAGGCATATGATTAACTTGTTTGCGTTATTGACATGAACATGACTTTCGGTTAGGGCCCTATCATCAATTTGCGTTATGTTACATTTAGTGTCCCATTGATTTACCATGGTTACCAACGGGCTATAAACAACATAATTAAATGTTTTTAATATCATTGACCACTCTGTACTCATAAATTCTATCTCTCGTAGGAAAAAATCGACGTTTCTCCATCTACTCCATACACCTTCATTTTTTCACACGATTCCTAAAATGTCGAGATAAAGTTTTGTTAATTATATTTTTCCTATTATGTTTTTTATGTTTGTTTAAAAGCACGATTGTTCAATATTTACTAAAAGCGGAATTGATATTTTTATTATTATTATACTTGTTGCGTTCACTCTATAGTCTACATATATTGAGTCCCTAAAATATCTCCATATTATTTTTGGTCAATTTATCTTTTTAACAAATATGAATTTTACCCCTTCTTAAAAATTGTGATAAAACCTCATTCGATATTTGATTATTATGTGTTTTATATTTACCAAATAACACCGTACCAGTAGATTATCAAACACACACATATTGCAAACTTTTGATTTTTCCTTACCGTGTTCCACTTAACAAATATAATATTTATGAAACGTTATTGTAGGTATGTTTTATAATTTAATATCAACTACCATATTTACTTGTGCAGATATAGACGGTTTAAAAATTAATGTGGTTTAACTATGTAATAAGCAAACAACATAAATCGACCTAAAGAAAAAAAAACCGATATTGATAAAATTAAAGTTAGGATCACTTTTGGAACTTATTATTAAATAAGCCAATCTTAATTTCAAGCCGCTTCGAGTATGTGATTTGACAAAATGAAGTCTTCATTATAAACCTATTTATTTATACTTCGTGGACTGCAATTCGTGGACTTTGGTTTGCAATTTCAACCTTGATATGTTTTGCAATTGGGTTCATCGTGTTGGACTCACTCTCAACCTCGATTAATGTCATATTATGTTTTTTAACAGAAATCGCTGGCCTCTCTACCGTTAGTATGACCGTAGTGCTTACACAAACCAGACCCAAACAAACTAACCAAAAAAAATGCTAATGTGCATCCAGCACATGTCTCCACTCTTTTTAATTCGTCTTGGTCCATTCTGTATTGAAGTATTATGGTGTGGCCACTTGGCATGCGCTCCTATTTGGCTTATGACCAACTCCGTATCGAGCGACTCTATAAAATCATTTTCTGTGCTATGCTTCATTTTATCTTAATATTGTACAAACTCTTGAAGATTACTCCATCATACGCTCTTCCTTAGACGTACCTACTCTTGCCTCACACAGTGATGATGCTGATGTTTCTTTTATTTTCTTACTTTTTTCAGCCTCGATCGTGTCCCAGCCTACTCCGCAAGATCACTTTTTTTTGTGCCTCTTATGGTCACAACCACTTTTTTCATAAATCCTGACATAATACGTGCAAATAAGACATACAATTTAGGTTGACATTAGTCTTATGTAAAAAAGATTTACTTTATTCGTGTAAATGTAGTACATGTTATGTACTTTGCTTATGCTCGAGAAAATGTTATTAAACTAATATTTAAGTATGGAGCACATTTTGCCATCCTTTTCTACTTATCTATTAACTCTTTCATGCACAAGAGATTTCAAAATTTCTATACCCAAGATGCACGGATACTTAAATTTTAAATTTTTTATTTTTTTTATCGTTGATTTGTACTTACATATGCATTAAAAATAATATTAAAAAAAAAAAAAATTAGTGGCAAAGTCTAGGAGTTACAGTATGTGGGATTACGTATTCCCCACCGCACATACTGTGCGCACAATATTCGCATCAAGTTTTTTTTTCATATCAATATATTTTTATACCATTGATTATAATCATAACCTAATATGGAAACAAACAAA